ACATACGAAACAGTGATCCTAGATGAAGATATGTGCATCTCTGACAGTAAAGGCCAGACTTCTTCAGGGTATTATTGTTATTACTACCTTTATTATCACAATTTCTTCACTCTGTTTCAGAGCTTATCCTTTTCATCCAGCAATAATTTTATATATCTTGTTTCTGCTCATTCATACAGCCGACCACATGATCATAGGGCAAATAATATCTATTGAAACTCAGAAATGACAAACCCGAGGGTATTTAGCTGAAAACAAGTTCTCCCTATCACATACTGTTCCTAAAATAGAGTGTAAGTCTGGAAAAATAAATCAAAAAGAAAATACATATTAGAAAGAGTTATTTGTGAGAGTCTTTCTAGTAAAGGAAAGGAGTGAGGACTAGGCTTCTCGAGTGTGGTCTAGATATCAAAATGTTTTAAAAGGACAAGATCATGGTGTCTCTTTATCCAGGTATGAGAAATTCCAAAACCTGTAGGCCCTCCCAAGGCTAGCTGTCACGGCTTTGAAGACATGCAGATCAGACCCACAATTGCTCATATCCACAGTGACCTCCTGGCTCCAGATGTAGCATTGGCATGCTCTGGCTTTCCAGATCCTCAGAACTGCACACAAAATCTGCCAATGACTAAAAAGACAATGAAAAACAGTGGGTTTGATTGATGCATACATCAGTTTTTTTCTTTGAGATGGAGCGTCACTCTGTCACCCAGGCTGGAGTGCAATAGCATGATCTCGGCTCACTGAAACCTATGCTTCCTGAGTTCAAGCAATTCTCCTGCCTCAGCCTCCTGAGCAGCTGGGATTACAGGTACCCACCACAGCGCTGGACTAATTTTTGTATTTGTATTAGAAACAGGTTTTCACCATGTTGGCCAGGCTGATCTCAAACTTCTGACCTCAAATAATCCACCTGCCTCGCCCTCCCAAACTGCATATGTTTAATCAGTCTTGCATCCCAGGGATAAAGCTGACTTGATCATGGTGGATAAGCTTTTTGCTGTGCTGCTGGATTCCATTGGCCCCATCTCACCACTCCCACTCAACATAGTATTGGAAGTTCTGGCGAGGGCAATCAGGCAAGAGAAAGAAATAAAGTATATTCAAATAAAAAGAGAGAAAGTCAAATTGTCTCTGTTTGCAGATGACATGATTCTATATTTAGAAAACTCCATCATCTCAACCCAAAATCTCCTTAAGCTGATAAGCAACTTAAAGTCTCGGGATACAAACTCAGTGTGCAAAAATCACAAGCATTCGTCTACACCAATAATAGACAAACAGAGAGCCAAATCATGATTGAACTTCCATTCACAATTACAACAAAGAGAATAAAATACCTAGGAACACAACTCACAAGGATGTAAAGGGCCTCTTCAAGGAGAACTACAAACCACTGCTCAAGGAAATTAGAGAGGACACAAACAAATGGAAAAACATTCCATGCTTATGAATAAGAAGAATCAATATCATGAAAATAGCCGTACTGCCCAAAATAATTTGTAGATGCAATGCTATCCCCATCAAGCTACCATTGACCTTCTTCACATGATTAGAAAAAAACTACTTTAAATTTCATATGGAACCAAAAAAGACCGTGTATAGCCAAGACAATCCTAAGCAAAAATAACAAAGCTGGAGGCATCACACTACCTGACTTCAAACTACACTAAAAGGCTACGGTAACCAAAACAGCGTAGTACTAGTACCAAAACAGATATATAACCAATGGAATAGAACTGAGGACTGAGGTATGATGCCACACATCTACAACCATCTGATCTTTGACAAACCTGACAAAAACAAGCAATGGGTAAAGAATTCCCTATTTAATAAATGGTGTTGGGAAAACTGATAGCCATATACAGAAAGCTGAAATTCCTTAAACTTTATACAAAAATTAACTCAAGATTGATTAAGACTTAAATATAAGACTCAAAACCATAAAAACCCTAGAAGAAAACCTAGGCAATACCATTCAGAACATAGACATAGGCAAAGACTTCATGACTGAAACACCGAAAGAAATGGCAACAAAAGCCAAAATTGACAAATGGAATCTAATTAAACTATTGAGCTTCTGCACAGCAAAAGAAATTATCATCAGAGTGAACAGGCAACCTACAGAATAAGAGAAAAATTTTGCAGTCTATCTATCTGACAAATGGCTAATAACCAGAATCTACAAAGAACTTAAAGAAATTTACAAGAGGAAAACAAACAATCCCATCAAAAAGTGGGCAAAGGATATGAACAGACACTTCTCAAAAGAAGACATTTATGCAGCCAACAAACATATGAAAAAAAGCTCATCATTAGATCATTAGAGAAATGTAAATCAAAACCACAATGGGATATCATCTCATTCCAGTTAGAATGGCTGTCATTAAAAAGTCAGAAAATAACAGATGCTGAAGAGGATGTGGAGAAATAGGAACAATTTTACACTGTTGGTGAAAGTGTAAATTAGTTCAACCATTGTGGAAAACAGTATGGTGATTCCTCAAGGATCTAGAACCAGAAATACCATTTGACTCAGCTGGGTTATATAACCAAAGGATTATAAATCATTCTACTATAAAGACACCAGCACATGTATGCTTATTGCAGCACTGTTCACAATAGAAAGGACTAGGAACCAACCAAAATGCTCATAAATGATAGACTGGATAAAGAAACTGTGACACATATACAGCATGGAATACTGTGCAACCATAAAAAGGATGAGTTTATGTCCTTTTCAGGGACATGGATGAAGCTGGAAACCATCGTTCTCAGCAAACTAACACAGGAACAGAAAGCCAAACACCACATGTTCTCACTCATAAGTGGGAGTTGAACAATGAGAACACATGGACACAGGGAGGGAAACGTAACACACTGGGAGCCATCAGGAGGTACGGGGCTAGGGGAGGAATAACATTAGGAGAAATACCTAATGTAGATGACGGGTTAATGTGTGCAGCAAACCACCATGGCACATGTATACCCTTTCACAAATCTGCACATTCTGCACATGTATTCCAGAACTTAAAGTAAATATATATATATAAAGTATATGTGTGTGTGTGTGTGTGTGTGTGTGTGTGTGTGTGTGTGTGATACCAGTCCTCTTTTCCTTCCTTCAGGTCATCAACATTCCAGTGGTAGATGGCCATGATGGAAATACTTGACATTTGAGAGTGAGCATAATTTATTTAATTAGTATTCTCTATTGGAGAAAAGGCTTCAAGTAGAACCGAATTCTGAAAAAAAAAAAAAAAGTGAAAAGAGAATCGGATAGTGTCTGAGTTCATTCATGCAGCTATAACAAGCTCAAATTTATAAATAATAAATATTTATTTCTCACAATTCTGGAATTCAGAAGTACGGGACCAAGATGCTGACAGATTCAGTATCTGATGAAGCTGCCTGGTGGAGCCAGAAAAGGCAAAGGAGATAAACTGAATGATGTGTCCGCACATGGCCACAGAGATGGAAGGGCCAGGCAGCTGTCTGAAACCTTCTATATAAGGCCATTAATTCCACTCATTGAGGGCAAAGTCCATGATTTAATAACTTCCGAAGAGGCTCTACCTTTTAATATCAACTTAGGCTTTAAATTCTAACATTAATTTTGGAATTTCACAAACATCTAAACCATAGCAGATAGAAATAGAAAATTCCTAACAAAGTCAGCATATAACCAGATAGAGTGACAGAAGCAGCTGCCTTGGTTACCCCTGACCAACGCTTTCTTACAAAAAGTGTTCATTAGTAACATTCATTTATCAACACCAGTGATGATATGTTGATATTTTATAACTCAAACATGTCCCTGCTGTAATATTCTTGCCAAAAATGAAAAGTCTGGCTTTAATCAATAGGAAATACCAATCAATAGAACTTAAGGGACATTCTCAAAAATAACCAGCCAGCATACATCAACATTTCAAGGTATTTAAAAACAAAGACTAAAGAACTGTAAGCGATTGTAGGAAATTTAAAAAGCATGAAAACTGAATGCAATATGGGATCCTGAAATTTTATCCTAAAACATTAGAAGTAAAAATGGTAGATATATATATCAGTGGAAAGCTCAGTGAAATTCAAATATGGATTGTAACTTCATTAATAGTATTTGATTAACCAGTAATGTTAAAGCTATTTAAAGTACTAAAAAAAAAAGTTAAAAATGGTTTTATATTCAGCAAAACTATCCTTACAAAAAGAAAAGAAAAGAAGCCATGACTAGCATATATACCCTATAAGAAACTCAGGAAGAAATCCTTCAGAAATCAGAATCACAGTAAATAACAATGAACAGAAATTTGAATCCATGAAATTAAATGAAGGATTCATAAATACACTTACTTCAATTCTCATCTTCTTCATGTTCAGGAAAACCAAATCTTTGTGATAGATATCAGAGTAGCAGTTCCCTAGGTAGGTTAGAGGCAGATGGTATTAAGCATGTGGAGAATTTAAAATTATTTATATTTATATCTGGATAGTGAGTGTGAGTACTTCATTTTGTTGACCAATGAACATGTTTGCACTTTACTCAGGGAACATTTTATTTTGATTTAATAAAATTGAGAGCAAACCAAAACCCTCTCAACACACATGAAGAAAGAAATAAGAAGCACCAAATATTTACAGGTCAGCCATATTAAAGAGAAGTGTAACGTGCACTGGGAAAGTGCTAAGGAAGTAAAAAAAAAAAAAAAAAAACGTACAAAGGGGAAAGGGCTAAGAAAGAAAAAAAAAAAAAAAAAAGACAGTAAACATTGAAATATATTCATGTCCCAATCAGGCTGCAGAGATTGTTATCTCTACTAGTTTTTTCTCAAGCACACAAAATATTTTGTTCCTAGGAAAGGCCCCAACACCCCCGTACATACCCTGTTTTTTCTACACCACTGCACCCATCAGGGGATTTGCATATTGTTCCCCAGGAAGGACCTTCCCTTGTGAGTCTCAGATAAAAGCTCAGTGCCAACCTTGACTTTACTGATCAGGACTCCTCAGCTCTTCTCACAATGAGGCTCCCTGCTCAGCTCCTGGGGCTGCTAATGCTCTGGGTCCCTGGTGAGGACAGAAGAAAGATGAGGGAGGAGAATGGGGTGGGAGGGTGAACTCTAAGGGCCACATTGCCTCCCATGCATGTTCTGTCCTCATGGTAGATGTGCACGTTTTGTACTCCAGGATGACGAGTGTGACATTTATATCTGTGTGAGTAAGGCATAGGATGTTTAGGTCTGTAAGAATGAGGAAGATTCCAGAAGGAACAAAGACCTGTGCTCTGGTAAAGACTCTGACACAAAAGGAGAGAATGGTAGAGGGAACTTCTAGAGGCTCTGATGTGCTTTGAAAATACATTTTTATTTTTAAATTATATATTACTAGGGAATGAATCAAATTATAAAAATTGATTTAGCCTGAAATAAATAAAAGAAAAATTATTTTTAAATTGCTCTTAAAGTTTGTACATGACCTTACACTTCTCTCTCATTATTTCAGGATCCAGTGGGGATATTGTGATGACCCAGACACCACTCTTCCTGTCTGTCACTCCTGGAGAGCAGGCCTCCATCTCCTGCAGGTCTAGTCAGAGCCTCCTGCATAGTGATGGAAACACCTACTTGAATTGGATTTTGCAGAAGCCAGGTCAACCTCCAAGGCGCCTAATTTATAAGGTTTCTACCCGGGACCCTGGGGTCCCAGATAGATTCAGCGGCAGTGGGGCAGGGACAGATTTTACACTGAAAATCAGCAGAGTAGAGGCTGAGGATGCTGGGGTTTATTACTGCCTGCAGGGTACACAATATCCTCACACAGTGGTACAGCTCTGAACAAAAACCTCCCTGCTGGAGTGGCCCAGCTGCTCAAATGTGTTGTTTACCTGGGCAGCAGCTGAACAGAATCTCTGTATGAGAGCAACATGTTGGAGAACTCAGGGCAACAGGTTGCAGCTGAAGGTTCTGTCCTGTGAGTGCCTCAGTTGTAAGTCAGTCAAAACCTATTCACAGCTCTTTCAGCTGCAACAGCCTTGGCATGGCATACGCCATAGGAAACCGGAAATGATCCCAGTGCCTGCACAGGTAATAGCACTGAGGGAGAGCTGAAGGAAATCTCATTCCAATCCTTCCTGCCTTGCCTGCATTGGGAAATAAACAGGTTAACAGACAGACAAGTAAGCCAGATTTGTTGCAACACTTGTTGAATACATCTTGAGGTTTAGCAGTTTTAAGTATACATTTAAGAGGACAGTATGTGGTAATATTCAAAAGTTGATATTTTTCAACTTTCCTAACTTATTTTTCACTTTCGCCTCTTATCTTCCCACCACATATTGATGGTGGAGAGAACCTTCTGCACAAGCTGTCATCATGAGGAGCTGGGTGAGGGCAATTAGTAAAAACCTTGGATTTCAACCTCAAAATGGACTTTTGTAAATTCATGGGAGATAGAAAATATGAATGCTAAAATTCCTTTATTTGCTTCAATTGTTTCTTGCTGATAGAAAAGGGTAGTTTTTTGTAAATTCTGAATATTAACCCTTTGTCAGATGGGTAGCTTGCAAAATTTTTTTCCCATTTTGTTGGTTGCTAGTTCATTCTAGTGATTGTTTCTTTTGCTGTGCAGAAGTTCTTAAGTTTAATTAGATCCCATTTGTCAATTTTGGCTTCTGTTGCTATTGTTTTTGGTGTTTTAGTCATGAAGTCCTTACCTATGCCAATGTTCTGAATGGTACTGCCTATGTTTTCTTCTAGGGTTTTTATGGTGTTTGGTCTTATGTTTAAATCTATAATCCATCTGGAGTTAATTTTTCTATAAGGTAAAAGGAATGGGTCCAGTTTCAGCTTTTGGTACATGGTTAGCCAGTCTTCCCAACACGATTTATTAAACAGGGAATCCTTTCCCCATTGCTTGTTTGTGTCAGCTTTGTCAAAGATCAGACGGTTGTAGGTGTGTGGCATTGCCTCCGAGGTCTCTGTTCTGTTCCATTGGTCTATATTTCTGTTTTGGTACCAGTACCATGCTGTTTTGATTATTGTAGCCTTATAGTACAGTTTGAAGTCAGGTAGAGTGATGCCTCCAGCTTTGTTCTTTTTGCTTAGGATTGTCTTGGCTATGTGGGCTCTTTATAGATTTGCGTATGTTGAACCAGCCTTAACAAATTTACAAGAAAAAAACAAGCCCATCAAAAAGTGAGTGAAGGATATGAACAGGCACTTTTCAAAAGAAGACATGTATATGGCCAAGAAACATGAAAAAATGCTCATCATCACTGATCATTAGAGAAATGAAAATCAAAAGTACATTGAGATAACATCTCACACCAGTTAGAATGGTGCTCACTAAAAAATCTGGAGACAACAGGTGCTAGAGAGGATGTGGAGAAATAGGAACATTTTTACACTGTTGGTGGGAGTGTAAATTAGTGCAACCAGTGTAGAAGACAGTGTGGCAATTCCTCAAGGATCTAGAAATAGAAATACCATTTGACCCAGCAATCCCATTATTGGGTATATACTCAAAGGTTTATAAATCATTCTGTTATAAAGATACATGCACATGTATGTTCATTGTGTCACTGTTCACAATAGCAAAGACTTGGAACCAACCCAAATGGCCATCAAGGATAGACTTGATAAAGAAAATGTGGCACATATATACCATGGAATACTATGCAGCCATAAAAAGGATGAGTTCATGTCCTTTGCAGGGACATGGATGAATCTGCAAACCATCATTCTCATCAAACTGACACAAGAATAGAAAACCAAACACTGCATACTCTCACTCATAAGTGGGTGTTGAACAATGAGAAAACCTGTACACAGGGAGGGGAACATCACACACTGGGGTTTGTAGGGAGGGGTGAGGGGCTAGGGTAGTGATAGCAGGGGATGGGGAGGTTGGGGAGGGATAACATTAGGAGAAATGTCTAATGTAGGTAAGGGAGGATGGAGGCAGCAAACGACCATGGCATGTGTATGCCTATGTGATAATCCTGCAAGATCTGCACATGTACCCCAGAAATTAAAGTATAATTTTTCAAAAAGCAAAAAAAAAATAAGAAAAGAGTAGTTTTTGAAATTTTAAAAGTCAAGTTTCATAAACAGAAATTTAAAGTAGAAGACATAGGTTACAGAATTTTCCTCATAGACCACTGAAATAACATGGAATGATGTGAGATTTCTTTCCCCAAAATGTAAGAGTTTGAGGACAGTAGGCAGACTTCAGGAGTGGGAACATGAATGGAGGATAGTGGAAGTCAACTATGGTCCAATAACCTGCTCTTCAACTTACATTAGGGACATTGTGGATGTCAGTGACTGTTGGGGGTTGATGATATGAACCCAGAAAGGAGTCCAAATGTGTTTCTTATGAAGAATCACAGAGCAGAAAGAATCACTGCCTGGCTCCATAGGTCGAGACTGCACCACTGCAAGTTTCAAGGAAAATTAGTTCATCAAGAATCATCAAATGTTTATTGAAGTTCCTGTGCAAACAGATCTGAGGTTATGTGACTTAATCACAGTCAAACTAAAATAACCCAGCAGATGCCATGTGGCTGGGCTTGAGAACACAAATTATGCAATGACATGCTAACCTGATGTTCCAATAGTGCCTACATCGATTGGGGAGCAGTGACAATGACGACCACCATATCCATCATTCAGACATGTACTAAGAATGGTCTGTGCAGAATTTATAAACAACAAAAATTCCATGAGTCCTGTGCATGGGGAGTTTCTGCCTTTCTGAACCAGCACCCATCGACTACGCATGCACTTAAACCACAGCCAGTGTCCACGGAAAACACTGTCTGTGAATAGAGGCTGCCTTGTGCAACCAAAGCAGCACAGCCAGATTCTCCTTTCACAGATGGGTTCCTCTGCCTGTGCCACAGTGGAACATGGGTCCAAATGCCAACTTGGCAAATATGGCAGGGGAACAAAGAGTCAGTTAAGTCAGCTCAAATAGAAAGGTTTTTCTCACTCTGGAATTTTAGATTACCTAGGCCTCATTCTGTCCACTGTTCTCTGATGTTATAATTTTACAAATTTTGTATTTTGGTTTTTTTTTTAATTTTTTGCATCTTTTGCAGTGGTTGTTTTAAGGCTTTTAACCATAATATTATTGTACCTGGGAGTGGAGATAACTTTTTCAACTAAATAATGTTTTAGAAATGGCAATTTTGATATTAAATTGTCATGAAAAGAATAAATGATTTTCAGCATATAAGTACATGCATTATTTTTACACAATGCAGTCATTACATGAAAATAAACTTCATTCCTATCTTTTAGTAGTAATTGTATAGAAACATAGTTTGCATAGATGCCACTTAAAATAATGCTCTAAAAGTATTTCAAAACTAATCATGACATGGTATGATCAAAGTAAAGGGGCATTTGAATCAACAAGACAACATACTCTTTTTTTGTTAAGGAAGTAAACCACATTAAAAATGACTGTGTATTCCAAAATAATGCATTGTGTGGTGAAGGAAGTTAAAATTGAATTTTTGAGGAGAAATATCCAGAAAAAAACTGGATTATGGCAAGGAGTTCGTAGCATAGGCAAAGAATGACAAACCTGCAAAGTATTTTTCTGTACATATTTAAAAGTGGAGATACACATCCATTCAAAATTTGAATGATTACATATTCACAATCACTTCTGGGGGCCTGGAGATACTGCACATATGACAGCAAGACACTCACTGGGACCCTGCATTGTGTGATGGTCCCACATACAAATCTCCCAAGGAAGCCTAGCCTCTCAGTACAGCAGGAGTTGCTGGGGTACCCAGAGGACATATCCACACAAGGTGGGCTCAGTTAGAGATGGCTGGAGAGCCTTCCAGGAAGAGGCCACAAGGTTTCAGTCACAAACACTGGCTCCTCTTCTGTGTAAAAAGGAGCCAGAACCCTCCAGGACAACTCTTAGAGCTTCTCCCTTTCTCTCCAATTAGGGCACTGACAGCCCACAGGCTCTTTAGGAAGTGGTTCTCATGTCCTCCCTGGAACAGCCACTAAAGCTCCCTACTGCTGTCGTGAATGCAGGGACACTCAGTCACGTCACCGGGAGGGGACCCTAGTGTATCCTGACATCACCTGCTGCCACTGATGACTTCCAAGGCACTTCTTTCTCCCTTTACAAAGTGACCCTCACTTTGACCAACCACCACGAAAATGGAAAGCTGCCTGCAATGCATGATTTTGGCTGCTGAGCAAATCAAAGCTCAGGGGAGTCTCAAACATGTACACCACATAAGAATATTTTCTGATAATACTATTCGGACTTTTCTTTCTTTCAATTCTGGAACTAATGGTGAATATTTTTTGAACTCTTATGAACACTTAGTATATATGTGTAGTAGGAAGTAACTAGTTTTGGCTACTGGTTCAGTTTTTTGCTTGTGTCAGGCCATGATGTGGCATGTTAAAATACTGAAGACAAAGATACATTTTAGAGTTAGGCATACTATACATTGGCTCTTTCCACGCCACTATAACCACCGGGGTGTACATGTTGTCCCTTAGGAAGGACCTTCCCCTGTGAGTCTGGGTTGAAAGCTCAGCTTTTGCCTTGCTTTGACTGATCAGGGCTGCGCAGTTCACCTTCTCACAATGATGTTCTCTGCTCAGCTCCTGGGGCTGCTAATGCTCTGGGTCCCTGGTAAGGACAGAAGGAGATGAGAGAGGAGAATGGGATGGGGAGTTGAGCTCTGGGGGCCCCACTGCTTCCCACGTGTGTTCTGTTCACATGTTAGATGTATGTGTCTTTTGCTCCAGAATAAAATGTGTGGGGGCACTTTTATATGTGAAAGAGTGACGAAGATTCCAGAAAAAGCAAGGATGGGTGTTCTAGTGCAGACTCTGACATAGAAAGAGGAGGATAACACAAGTGACTTCCATAGGGCAACTTTGGCCTTCAAAATACCTGTTCTTATTTGAAATTAAATTTTTTCAGTGCAGAATCAAAATCACACCCCCCCAATACAATTATTTAGCATTAAATATATTACTGTAGAGATATTATGAAAATGTCTCATAATGATTTATATAACCTTGTACTTCTTTTCTATACTACTTTAAGATCCAGTGGGGATATTGTAATGACCCAGTCTCCGCTCCCCGCCACTCCCCATCAACCCTGGAGAGCCCGCCTCCCTCTCCTGAAGGTCTAGAGCCTCCTGCATAGTAATACACCTATTTGTATTGGTACCTGCAGAAAACAGGCCCATCTCCACAGCTCCTAATCTATAGAACTGCCAATTTTTTGCCCTCCCAGAGAGGTTCTCTACAATTGGAGAAAAGAGTAGACCAATCATCCCCAGATATATCACAGGAGTAGCTTCAACATTTGGAAGCTGATCTATATACTATGTTTAAATAGGCATTTGTGATATGACCTGAAATGCATTTGGACAAGGAGAACTTCCCTAATTATCGAGTCACTAAAGACTTCCAGCCCTGTATGATGTGCCACATAACCATGAGTTTACAGTGGTTGT